CCGAACCGCCGGCCGACTCTCTCGCAGGTGTTTTCAGCTGTCCTGATCTCGCCGGCCACTGCGGCCAGACTCCCATCCGCATTCAAGCAGTTTTTCGGTGGATGGTCTCGCAATCCGCGCCGGGTGCCAGTTGGTAGGTGGTTTGTTCAGATTCATATCAAAGAATGGACTTCTACAGGAAATCAGATTTGCTTAGACTGGGCTTATCCAAGCCTAGACTGGGCTTGTCCAAGAATAGAAATCAAAATCGGGGTCTCAGAAGGGCGTGTCCAGGAACGGGGGATCTTGCCGTACCAGTGGGCACTTCTCCAGGAAGTTAACTTGGGCTTAAATTGGGCTTATTTTTGCTTGAAAAAGCCTAAAGGCCCCTTAAACATGCTCCTTACAACAGCTTAGGCTAGATTCCCAAAACCTTTCCAATTTAACTTCCTGGACAATATCTTTTTTTTTTTCTTTGATCATAGGGTTTGATCCATACTGGTGCAACATTTTGTGCATCTGCTGCATCTCAAAGTTGTGAGCCCTCTTTTGGATGCTTTGAGAGGCACCGACATGACACCCACCACCCGCGCATTTTCTGTTTTTGAGAGACGCCTTGGCACACGCATATCCCATGCGGGTTTGCTGTCAACTGAGCGTGCATCATGTCTGTTCAATGACCCCAAATGGCAAGGGCAGATGAAGATGCAGTGAGCCTTCAAAGGCAAATCCTCAAATTCTCCGGTGAGCTTGAGCACTTGTTGTCTCTGTGCCATCGCCCAACTCTTCAGCAACAAGCCGCAGAAGGTCAAGACATACTGGCAAGTGTCGGATGCGGATGACTCCAAACTCAGTGGGCACTCCCTGCCCCTTGCGTTTGTCTGAAGGGAGCCCATGTGTTGGGCTGGGTTAAGGGGACAAAAAGACTTTGGAACCCTTTGGGAAAGGACTGACTCTTCCACACACCAGCCAGCAGCGGACAGCCTTTTTGCAGGGAGTGCTTGAGACCCAACGCAGAAAAAAGGCTCAACACTGCTTTGACCAACCCCGGCTGAGCTGCAAGAGCAACTGAGTAGGAGGCGCCGTCCAAATGATGAACCCAAGGTCGTTCCACATCAGCCAAACAAAAGTGAAGTGAAGGAGCCATGCCTCACCTCACATCGAGGCACCGTTGTCTCCGCCTGCATCAGCTCAGAGGGCCAGGCGCCGTGCCGACCAAGGCCGGGCACTATGGGCTCCGAACTTCGTTTTTCTGGTTTGGTTTTGGTTTTCCCCCTCCTTTGTGGTTCCTTTTGATTTGTTTTGTTTTCCTTCGGGCTTCCTCTTCTAGCTTCGGCTTTTGGTGTCCTCCTGTTTTGTTGCTGGTTTCCGGCATGTTGTGCTTCCTTTTACCTTTTGGTTTCTTTCTGATTTCCTTCTGCCTTTTGTTTTTGCGTCTTTTTGTGGCAATCATTTAACTTCAGTTCCTCTTCATTTGCTTTTGTTTCCATTTGCTTCAATGAGGGTTTCGCGTGTTTTTGTTCTTGGGTTCCATTTGCCTTCGGAAAGGGTTCCTTAGTGTGGTTTCCGGTTTGCTTCTGTGTTTCCTGTCGTCGTTCTTCGGTTCTTGATGGGGATGTGCAGAGGCCCCTCAGACAGAGCCCCAATGTTGCAAGGAAAGCCAGGAGGGAGGTGTGATTTACCACAGTGTACCAGGCTTTTCTGGTCGGATATGGTAGATCCTAGGGACTGCACCTGTTTCCTTGTCAAGCGCGCGCTTTCGGCTTCGACGACCCGGAACTCCCTAAATTGCGCACGCCTGTATGAAGCAACGCCGTCTACCTCAGGTTAAGGTTCGGTCAAACTGTCCGGTCTGGTGGGCTCTTCCAATTTTTCCTCAAAAGCCGGGGGAACCCTTCAACTAATCTATATCCATAGAGGGTATAGCAAATTTTGACCGTGGCACACTTGGATGTTTCCAGGATGCGAAGCCCTCCAAATGGATGGTTTCTTATTTTGGCTTCCCTCTACCTTCCATAGAGGGGTCCGCAACTTGAGGAATCATGCAATTGAGTTGATCAGAGTGTTCTTTAGATGTTTTCGGGTAGACTCCTTGCCTGGGTTTTGACTCTGCCTCGGGCAACACATCTTTCTCGCAAGTGTTGATGGACAGACTTGAGGCATGTGCCTTTCAGCCCGCCAGGTACTGGAGCCTTGGCCTCTGGATTTGCTTTGGGAGTCCTCTGGGATACGGGGCCCTGGTAGCTTGTTTGGCATCGTGGATACCTCGAAGGGCTCTGAATTGAGCAGTTGTAGCCTTCGCGTTGAGGTAAGTGCCGGAGGAGCAGACAATTGGTTTTGGGTTGACACTGTTTGTGACCCCCTAAAAGGCAATTAAATAGCCACGGTTGGATAGGAATCAACAATTTTAGGATCACAGGGATGATTTTGCAAACTCATGGGTCCCAGAAGAAAGGGGGCTGTGGAGAAACTTCCACAGGACGAAGTCGTGTTGTGACGCCCAAAAGGACTCGGTGGGTCGTACTGCGGACTTCCCCCTCAGGTTGGTCTACACCTTTACAACAAGCTCAGGCAGCCCTTGCCCACAACCAGGGAGAGCTAAGGGAAGTGACGGATGTGACGACCTTGCTTAGCATGGCTTGTGTTGCAAGCAATGTATTTTCGGAGCAGATAGAGCTTTGCGAGCTTGGTCTTCACACCCTTTTTCATGTTCCAGTCCAGGTCCGTGTTTGTTTCCTTTCATCTCCTCTCCTCCTCCTCTTCTTCTCTCCTTCTCTCCTTTTTTTGCTTCTCTCCTTCTCTCCTTCTCTCCTTCTCTCCTTCTCTCCTTCTCTCCTTCCCCCCTTTCTCTCCTTCTCTCCTTCCCCCCTTTCTCTCTTTTTTCTTCTTTGTTTCTCCCTCTATTGTTCTTGTCTTGTTTCTTATCTTTCCTTTTTTTTAATATGTTCTTTATCTGTTTTTCTCTTTTCTCCTTTCTCCTTTCGCGCTTCTCCTTTCTTCTTTCACCTTTCTCTTCCTCTTCCTCCTCCTCCTCCTCTTCCTCTTCCTCTTCCTCTTCCTCTTCCTCTTCCTCTTCCTCTTCCTCTTCCTCTTTCTCTTCCTCTTCCTCTTCCTCTTCCTCTTCCTCTTCCTCTCTCTCTTCTGCTCCATTTGGGGGTGGGTGGCAACAGCAGTGGTCAAAGAGGGTCTGATTCATTTGCCGTTTTGTCCGCATGCTCAAACATGGAACCCATCAAAACACACCCAAACCCGCCCATCCAAGATCCAAGCCCACCCACACCCATCCAAACCCATCCAAACGGAGCCCGCACACGACCTCGAGTTCTTCGGGTTTGATCTTTTAGGAACGGGTACCTGGGCGCGGACCGCCTGCGCTCCCTGGAGTTCTGGAGCCCCTTCGCGGCCCGCGAGCAGCTCGTGGAGTCCCAGGTCTGCCAGGCTCTCGACTGGGTACGGCGTTCCCGTGGGTTTTCTGGAGCTCCTGCGGGTAATGGTTCCCGGAAACGGGGTTCCCTGTTCTTCAAAGGGCAGTTTGGTCGTCTTAAAAGCAAATTGCGCAACGAAGTGGAAGTCCGATGTCTAATGCATCCGATTCGGAACCCATTTGTTAGAACTCATGGAGCACCCAACCACAGCGACAGGGAATACCCTTTGGAGCCAGGGAACGCCCTGTTGTCCAACGATGGAGGTGGATGGTATATAGGCCTTTTCAGATGACATTTCCCTAGCTCTCCAGGCCATAACCAAAACCCAGTCCTATTAGGTGCGGCCACCTTTGGTTTGATGGGCCTTGTGCCTCAAGTGGCTTCCATGCTTTTTTGGCAAGAGGTCAATAGACAGTCACTCAACGCGCAAATCGAGCAGAGTTCGCCATTTAAACGGAAGCATCCATCATTCCACACCATGCCATTCCATGCCGTATCATACAATACCAAACCATTCCATATCTATATCATACCATTCCAGTCCATACTATACCATACCATACCATGCCATACCATACCATACCATACCATACCATTCCATACCATACCATACCATACCATAGAGAAAGTAGGTAATTTAAACAAAGACAACCCAATCCACTGGGAGGTTTCTTAGGTCCTTGCGGTTTGAAAGTGCGCGATCCAGGATCACCAGAGCCCCGAACTGGTGGAGCAGTTGTGGGAGCAAAGTGCCTCGGCGGGTGCGTAGAGGGTTTTGCCCCGGTTGACACGGGCATGATATGGCCATGGTTCAAAACCAATGGTACCATTTTGGGATAGATGCACCACCCATTTTAGTCCATTTTAGTGGGGATTGGGATGTTTTGGTACAGGGTTTTGACCATGGCCATATTTGTGCGCCCATCGTAATGGTTTTTCCCTTTGCCTTTCATAAAAAGGGGATTCCGTGTTGAGACAAGCTCAAATGTCTCTGTGCTCCAGTTGAATGGCCAGGGCAAGGCAAGCCTCGATTTCTCCCAAGGTTGCGCCTTCGGTTGTGGGGGTGGTTTTCAGTCCATGTGGGCACACCCAAACAATTGCTAGGAAAATTCAATGGGGATCGCCTTCAAACATGTTGTCGTGCACACTATCCTATTGCAATTGATGTCCGCCAAAGGGTCAGCGATCCAAAAAGTATTCAAATGGAACCCTGCGAATTGTTAGCTGACTGTGTTCAAGCCCCTTGAGGCTTGGCCGAAATCCGTGCTGCTGGCGTGGATGTGACGCTGCCCTGAGTCAGATCCGAGCTGGTCGCCAGCGGGAAATCGACGAGAGCAAGCCAGAAAGAGTATAGCCACGCCAGCCCAACTGATATCCCCATGAACCTACTTGAGGGAACCACTTCTTCCATGTGGGGGTTGATCAATTTGCCTGGCCCCAAAAATGACAATGGCCAACTTTTCTCATTTGATGAAAGTCAAGCCTGTTTGGCGGTTTTCCGGCCGACGGCCATCCCATGTTTACCGGACCGTTTTGATCAGCCCGTATGTCCGCGTGGGGAACCACGTCATTTCGATGGCTCACCTCCCACGCCAGCTCCACGTGGAGCGCGCGGACCACGCCCTACGCGAGGCTCAGGCGGAGCAGAGCCGCGGCCCGGCGTGCAGAGAGAGCGCCAGGGCGGCGGAGTCTCCCCATTGGGTTCCTTTGTCTTTCTTTTTTGCATCCGGTTTCCTTTCGGCCTTCGGTTTCCGTTTTTCCTTTTGGTTTTCTTGTGGTCTTGATGTGGTTCCCCTTTGGTTTCCTTGCTGCGCTCCAAGACGAGCCGTGAGGGCTAGGCCACGGATCCAGAATATCCTTGTCAGAGCCTTGCAGATATTGGTGGAGTCATCCAACATCAGACCGGTTTGGCTCCCTTGTGTCCGATTTGACCTCATAGCAGTTTGAGCACCATCCCGCAGCTTCCGTTTGCAGTCGTGTGCGACTAGTGTCTTAGCCTTTCTCCACGGTGCAGGGTGTCATGGCAGTGCCCTTGCCAGGTGATGCAGTACCATTACTTGTTTCGCGATTCCTTTTGATGCACTGTTACGATTCCCATGCACGTTTCCGTCCACCGCTTGCTCGTACAGAAGCGAACCCATGACTAGGAGGATGGCTCATTCCTTGCGGTGTCCTTGTGGTCTTCTTTTGGTTTCCTTTTGTTTTTCTTGTGTTTCCATTTTTTTGGTTTTCTTTTATTATTATTTTCCGGGTTTTCTTTTGGTTTCCCTTGACTGTCGTTTGGCATCCTTTCGGTTGTTACTTTTGACACCACTGGAGAATAGGATTCCCCACGTGTACCGGCGTTTCTTCAAAGACAATCCTCTCGGAGATTGGGTGGGACCTTGCAACAACTTGGGTTGGCGGAAGTTGGTTGGAGGATGGTTGATGGGTTGGCTGTTTTGTTGCTCTAGAGGTTCTCTGGGACCTTCGGAGCCGGCACCGACAGACTGAGCCCGCCGTCTTTTCTTGAGGCCTGGGCGCGACGGCGGGGCGGCTGGCAGAAGCGGCGCAGGCGGGCAGAAAACGATGGGAGAAGGAAGGCGCGCCTTGGACCCTGCGAAAACAGAACAAGCGGCGCCGCACACATTCGACTCCTGTTTTGAAGGATACCCCTGCGAAGCGTGTCATTGAGTTTGGTGTTGCCGTTCCATGCGTGACATGGGGACATGGGCATTTTGTCACGCAGGGAAGAGGTCCAGTGAAGGATCCCAACGAAAGACAATACACCGCAGCGTGGCTGGTTTGGGGTGTCTTCTAAGATAGGGAATCTCCAAAGTGATTGGTTTCCTTTGGCAGCCTCTTTCTACATCAGCCCAAAAGGGGACAAAACTGCTTCCGTGCGTCCAGGGGAAGTGTACTAAGGCCTGTCCAACAGGGTGGCTTTGGACACCAGTGTAACGTGGCCTCCCGCACTCTGATTCTCAGGCAAGACAATTCCAAACATGAGTGAATAATTATCAGGAAAGACACTCAGTGTCAATAATTCTTGGGAACCCCGGCTCGGGAGTGACGGCAAAAGAAAACCAAAACCAAGCACTTGGGTGGGGGACTGAATCTTGTGACATGCTCAATAGGAAGCAACCAGCATAAATTTGAATACGTATGGCTTTCTCAGCAGCTCAATCAGAAGTTGTTTTCCTGGATTTCCGCATAAGTACAAGGGGTTGTGAGACGAGCTTTTCGGACCGGACTAGTTGTGGCATTCGAAAAAATGATGGAGTTTCACCCAATTCCTTCTCCGGAAAACAATCAAACACATGTGTACGTGTATATATATATATACACGTATGTATATGACTCTGTGTGAGTGAAATCATCTCATCTTCGACTTCACAGACAGGTAGTGTTTTTGTCCTTGGTTTTCTCACATGCTCGTTTTCCCATCCCCCTCGGCCCCTCGGCCCCTCGGCCCCTCGGCCCCTCGGCCCCTCGGCATCCCTCGGCCGCTTGGCCAGGCGGCGGCCAATGCGGAGCTGGTGGCGCTGCGGCGCCGGCTGAAGTCGGCGGAGGGGCAGTTGGAGACGGGCAGACGCCTGCAGGACGAGCTCCGCGGAGCTGCTGACGGGTGGTTGCAAGTGGTTGCTTCCAGTTGCCTAAGGACATGTTTATTTCCCCTGTTGGGTTTAAAGGGAATGTATCACTACTAGAAATATTTTTTGTACAACAAACAGGGGTCTTAACCAAATGGAAGGTTGCATTTTGAGAGGTTCACACAATGACTCTCGGGGGTGGTACTTCTGAGGATGTCACTTTAAGCCGGCACGCCAGACGGAATCCGAGGAAAAAGGGGATGGAGCTTTGACAAAGGAAGGCTACTAGAGGCTGAGACGAGATCCGTCAGGAGGCGGCGGCATCCTTGGCCGGTGCGACCAACTCGGAGCCACAGAGGCACGAGAGGACTGGTGGGTCTTTTCGTGATGGTAGCCTTTTCAGGGTCAAACCGAGAACCGAAGGACAGCCACCTACATGCAGGGTCCCACAATTTTGACACTCGCCCAGTCAATTATCACGATGACATTTATGGCCCAGAGGTACAACAAGTTGCATGATGTACAAACATGACAAGGACCCAGATGACATGCCCGCATGTCATTTGGCTCAAGTGCTGAAAAGAGCGCGTTGCTCGCGCTACCCACAAGGTTAAGGGAGAGGTCGCAGTCACGGAGGGGTTCGTTCCTTTTAAGGTCCCGGGTTCCCCTGTTGTTGACAAAACTGTGTTTCCTTTGAGTGGTTATCAGCCGTAACGCTTTTCGGGTAAACAAACCCCTCCGTGACTGCGACCGTTTGGTCGCACATGGAAGCCGGCCCTCACCGCGGCACTCGCGGTGGAAAGGGGCCGCGTGCCCGTCTATTCAACACTCTGCAACAGATCGTCGTTGACGAGACAGGCGATTCCGGTGGGTCAGGTTTGCAGACGCCTCGAAGCAACAGATCGAGGCGCTCTTTTCCTGGCGTGAGTCATTGGATAATTGGCACCTGTGGGATTTTGACCAAGAGGCCTTCGAAGTGATCCAGGCCGCGGACAACGCTTATCAGCAGCGTCTCGCATCGGTTGAAACCGCAGGTGTGGTCTTGCCGCAAGGTGTGCAATCTCAGGATAAAGCCGCAGCCTCTGGCGCGGCGGAAGCAGCGAGCAGTGCAGCGGACTGGCTACGCCCTCCGACGCCTCCTTCAGCTTCATCCTGGCTACAAGATTCGCGCACTCCATTGCCTCGCATCCGACCATCAGCAGAGGAAAGACAAGTGTTGCGGGGCGCCGCCAAGACAGCGCTTCGCGGGGTGTACGCTAGAGCTGCGGAAACGCGGCGGGAGAGCAGCAGGGAACGGTCGCCACAAAGATCGAGGTCCCCATCGCCCCGAAGGTCGAGGTCTCCATCGCCTCCGAGACGAGGACCGACTGCTGCTACCCCTGTGGAACATCGGGCACACAGTGTTGAACCCGCGCTTGCGCGGAGGCCATCCAGGACTTCGATTGCCACACGGCCCATTGTATTGGCTCCACAGAACAGTATATACCCTGTGACACGATTTGACGAGCACGGCACTTGGGTACTCGTTCGGGAGGCTTCACAGCCACGTGAGGCGACATCTCACCGCCGAGCACAGCGGACATCCGGACATCTCCGTCAGGCTGACCCGTATTCGCTTGCGGACGAGACGTGGAGAGATCCCCCAAGAAGATCATCCACAAGCTCGCGATCACGATCTCCAGATCGACGCCCAGGGCCAGCGGAGCACTATCGCCTCGACGCCTACAGCTCGGAAGAGGAACCTCCGCAGGACGCGGAATCCATCAGAACTGGCAGGTCAGCTTACGTGCCTCGGCGCGTATACGAGGCACCGACTCACACTGAGCCTATTGCTTTGCATAGCCGGAGGATTGGAGCAATTCAACCGCCGCCACCAAAGGCCGCACCAAAGGTCATTTTTGGCAGCAAGCCTCCATTGCCCAAGGAACTTCCTCGTGCAGCTTCTTCGGCACCGGCAAAAGCAGATATTCCGAGGAAATCCCCGCCGCGAGCAAGGTCTCCTATTCGGACTCAGAGTGCATTCGGGTACAAGGCGCCTCCGCGAGGTTTGAACAAAGCCGAACCCAGAAGCAAATCGGGCTCAAACCCGCCACAAGGGTACATCGTCAAGCCGCCACCGCCGCAGGTCGTTAAAGCAGCTGCTGCTAGCGCTGCAACTTCCGAGGCTGGCGCACGCTTTCGATCGCCACCAAGAAGGCCACCACCTGCGCCACCCCCGCCGCCTGGAAGGCCTGTGCCGCCCAAGGAGCTTACCATCGCTCTTGACTGGCACGGAGTTCTTGACGTTGGGCAGCAGGGACCCCACCTCAACCCGGAGGTGATCCGGCATCTCGTTCAATTTGCAGCCGACTACGCACCTATAAATTTTATAGTGCTATCCTTCGTGGGCAGGGCTGCAAGCGAGTATCGCCGCCGCGAGTTCCAGGTCGCCCTGGAGCACGCGCGGACGACATCTGGACTCACTTTCTCTGCGATAAAAATCGTACACGAAAGGTTGGGTAGGGGAGGCAAAGCAGACGCCCTTCAGGGGCTGGGTGCCCACGCCCTCATCGACGATACAGCTGCGATTGTCCGTGAAGCTCAAAAGACAGGCATCGCAGCGTTCCGCAACTTCCCGCATTTCGGGCCGAGCGGATTTGCCAACGCACTTGAGAACCTTGGGGAGTACATCGAGTCCCGGAATCGACTTTTCATTCCGGCGGCAAGGGGCCTGCATCCATCGCAGTACCTCGAGGAACTCCATCGGTCTGCATCCCAGTTGCCCGCCAATCGGGTACTTCGATAGCCTTTCTTTGCAAGCCGTTAAAACCGTCGCTTTGCGCGGTACAGCATCTTTGCAGCTACAGGCATTCGATTTGCAGACAAATTCTCAATACAGCTTGGCAACATCCCTCGATAAAGCACCATAGTGCGGCAGTGCGGATCAATCAATCTACAAGTACAATTACAAATACAGAATTCATCAGGTGCAAAGCAGCAGGGCGTATTTTCTTGAGTGGCTCACTTGAGCGTTTCGCAACCAGCTGCCAATCCAGGGATATCTCCTCGTAGCACCTTTTGACACGCTGCTCAAAGCGCGTGGAGCTAGCTTCGTGTGAGTGCAAAATTGCATCGCTGTGTCATGGCTTCAACGGGCTTATCACCGCCATCAGAACTTCGTTCAAGGTCAACCCCAAATAGGGATTCTGAACCGGATGACCCTGACCTAGCCATGGTTCCTGCAGCTATGTCCACAGTTCGCACATCCACACCTCAACGAGCAGCCCAAACACGACCATCATCACCCCGAGTACATCATCCGAAGCTTCCCCAGCCATTCAGTTTCCTTCACAGGGATCGCAATTACCTGACCCGATGACTAACGTACCCGCTGCGGCATTTATAGCTGGAGCTGCGGTGCAGCAAGCTCATCGAGCATCCGACCTCGCTGCTCAGGCAGCCAATCACGCCTTGCACCAACAGCAGGCCGCCGACCAGGCGAGACAAGAGGCCGGATGGATCAGGGAAAGGGCTGTAAGAGAAGTATCAGACGTTAGGGTTCAGGCCGCTCAGCTAGCTTCGCAAGCACAGCAGGCTGTACAAACAGCACAACAAAGTGAGGCTCAGGCCAGGCAACTAATCGAGCAGACACGACAGGAAGCCATTGGCCATGTCGAGAACGCACGACAGGTTGTTAATGCCACTCAACAGGACGCTCAGCAAGAGGTTCAACGCATTGTTCAAGAGGCTCAACAGGCAATCTCACAAAGAGAACAAACCATTGCCAGTCAAGAGCATACCATTCGTGGATTGTCCCAGGAAAATTCTGTGATGCATCAACGACTTGGTGATCTCGAACGTGTTGTTGCGCACCTCACCCAACAAGCTCGTGCGACCCCTGTTCCGATTCAAGAGTCCCCGCCAAAAGCCGCATCAATAGCCGAAACAGCTACGGAAACAAGCGCGGCTAAAGCCTCAAGTCAGGGCACAAATCCCCCAGGAACCCATCAGCCGGTTGGAGCACCTCAGGTTTCAGATTCACAAGATGCCTCCGGTGTTGCCGCATCGTCGCAAGGGAATGCTTTTACAAGTACTATCCCCGACCCTCCGTGTGGTTCTGTTCAAAGTTCAGGACTTGGTCACGATGCCCCAGCTGATTCAAGGGACCCTGGTGGGGGTGCAACAAGTCAACATCTCGCAGGTCATTCGGCAGGTGCTAGGAGCAGCGTCCTCTGTTGGAGACGCAGCCCCCGGCGCGTCGAGGGCTAGCGGGTTGGGTAGAGACGGCACAAGGGATCAAGCCGATGTGAGAGTGCAAGTGACGGCTTTAGCGGAAATGGTTCAGCAGCTTTCCCAATTGGTTGCTAATCAAGTGGCTCCGCCACCTCCGCCTCCGGCCGCACCACCTCCAGCGCCTCCCACGCCCCTCGCAGGGGCGCCGCCTCCGCCAAAAGCTGGCGACGGCACTCGTGTTCCGCCAGTACCAATCACAATGTTGGGAGGGTTGTACTCGTCATCCCCACAAGCGCCATCGGCCGCTAGCTCCGACTCATCATCAGACTCCGATGGAGATGATGATACTCCACAATGTCGGGTTTGCGGCGGCAGCCATGAAGACACGGATTGCCCACACCTCACCATGAACGGTGGTGGGGGAGGCGGGGGAGGCTCTGGCCAGTTCCCCAATGCAGACCCGTCTCAAGCTGCCGATCCCAGTGTAGGCATGACCGCCGTAGATCACGCCGAATATGAGGAGTCCGTGGTTCGCGTCAAGGATCTCAAGGATCTCGTGTTACCATCCCCTCCGGAGAACGCTGGACAGGCTAGAGGTTTCGTCAACCAAGTTTTGATGGCCATCGGTCGACTCCAGAAGACCCCCGGAGATGAAGTTTACCAGTGGGCCCAAGCATGCATGTCCTCCACCGAGCAAGAACTCATCGCGGACAAGCGTTTCCCACGGTTAGATCGTGAAGTAGCCGCAAAGCTCCTTAAAACCTGCCGCAAAGGTAAGTTCGGGCTCTTGTTTCAAAACATGGTTGAACAAGAGAGAATCTCGTCAGGTGGGATGCCCGTAGGGAGAATCATGTTGCGTGCCATCTTCAAGCACTTTCAGTTGGAACGAGGTAGGATCGGAACCTTAGGAGGTCGTAACTTGTTAAAGTTGTCTCTTGCAGGTCCGTCCCTTGCTGACTTGGATGCCTTTCGGGAGAAGTACGTTTACGTGCTGACCGCAATCCCCGTGGCAGAACAACCCAGGGAAACAACCTTGTTTGATCACCTGTTGGATGAGCTGGAAAAGTGCACCGCGCTGAAGCCTAAGGTAGAAAAGGCACGGGAAGCCCCTATCGGCAGCCACCGTAGGAAGCCGGAATGGTTGTG